ATTTGATTTAATATGTTGTAAAGATAATAAATATAAATCCTAAAGTGTAATCATATATAAACTCAATTTCAATATGAAAAGAATATATTTTCTTCTACTTATAAAGTTATGTTTTTAACTTTTAACATATTATACTTAATTTATTAGGTCTAATATGTTGTTGTATGTAAACCATTATCATTTTAAAGCTACAACTTTTGAACAATTTGTATAAAATACTTAAACTGTTAATTTAAAAATAACCTTACAGGATCAACTTAAATATAAACTTTAGTTGAACTTAAACAACCTAAATAATATTTTGTAAATAGTTATAAGTGATAAATTGTAGTGTCTATCTAATAGTGATTATAAGTTGGTTAATAAAGTTAAATAAATATCAAACTGAAAATGTAATCATAAATAAACTAAATTTCAATATTTAAATAATATTTTTACTTCTACTTATAAAGTTATGTCTTTAACTTTTAACATATTATACTTAATTTATTAGATTTAATATGTTGTTGTATGTAAATCATTATCAGTTTAAAGCTACAACTTTTGAACAGTTTGGATAAAATACTAAAATTGTTTATTTAAATGTAACATTACAGGGTCAACTTCAATATAAATTTGAGTTCCACTTAAAAAACCCAAATAATATTTTATGAATAGTTAAAAGTGATAAATTTTAGTGCTAAATGCAAAAACTAAATTGTAATATCATTTTAACTAAAATATTTCCTAAAAATATTTTATAATCATTAAAAGTTTTCAAATAAGTAGCTTAAAATAACTTACAATAAAAATAGTTAAAAATAACTCTATATAAATAATTATATTGTTACCTTTAAAATAAAAAAAATTGTTTGATGTTTTAAATAATTACAATGATAGAAATTAAAAAGGTAAGCAAATAAATTTTTAAAAATTAATTGATAATAACAACAACTATAAATAACATTAAACCATATACTATATTTACTTTTATTCATGAATAACCCGCGAATAGATGTCATTCAAAAGATTGAGATTAAAAAAACATATATTTGTAAAGATTTCAGCTATATAAATAATTATGCGCAATGCGCGGGCATTCGCCTAATCATATCATATCATCATATCATATAATATCATACTATATTGTAAAGGAAACATTTTTTCTTTCACCACATTCATTTGAAACTCTCATGCATTTTTCTTTTCACCACATTCATTTGAAACTCCCATGACTTTTCAATTTCTTTATAATAATGATTATAAGTTGGTTAATAAGATTAAATAAATATCAAACCTAAAGTGTAATCATATATAAACGAAAATTCAATATTAAGAGAATATCTTTACTTCTCCTTATAAAGTTATGTTTTTTAACTTTTTACATATTACACTTAACTTATTAGTTTTAATATATTGTCGGATGTAAACCATTATCATTTTAAAGTTACAACTTTTGAACAATTTGTATAAAATATTTAAATTATAAACTCAAATATAACATTACGGGACCAACTTAAATATAAATTTTAGTTTAACTTAAACAACCCAAATAATATTTTGTAAATAGTTAAAAGTGATAAATTATAATGTCTTTCTAATAATGATTATAAGTTGGTTAATAAGATTAAATAAATATCAAACATAAAGTGTAATCTTAAATAAACTAAACTTCAACATTAAAATAATATATTTACTTCTACTTATAAAGTTATGTCTTTAACTTTTAACATATTATACTTAATTTATTAGATTTAATATGTTGTTGTATATAAACCATTATCAATTTAAAGCTACAACTTTGGAACAGTTTGGACAAAATACTTAAATTGTTAATTTAAATATAACATTATAGTGTCAACTTTAATATAAATTTCAGTTCTACTTAAAAAATCCAATGAATATTTTGTGAATAGCTAAAAGTGATAAATTATAGTGCTAAATGCAAAAATAAAATTATAATATCAATTTAACTAAAATATTTCATAAAGATATTTGTATAATCGTTAAAAGTTTTCAAATAAGTAGCTTAAAATAACTTACAATAACAATAGTTAAAAATAACTCTATATAAATGATTATATTGTTACCTTTAAAATCAAAAAACAATGTCTGATATTTTAAATAATTATAATGATAGAAATTAAAAAGTTAAGAAAATAAATTTTAAAAAATTAATTATCAATAAAAAAAACTATAAATAACATTAAGCCATATATTATATTTAATTTTATTCATGAGTAACTCGCAGGTAAAAGTCATTCAAATGGTTGAGATTATACAGTTATAATAGATGTGTATATTATCATATAATTCAAAATAATCAATATCTTATATCAATTTAGTATACGAATTATTATATCAAATTTAACAACAACATTATTGTTATATTTAAAAAAACATATATTTGTAAAGATTTCAACTATATAGGTGTTTCTGCGCAACGCGCGGGCATTCGTCTAGTATACTTATAAAGCTTGTATTTTTTCTTGAACCACATTTATTTGAAACTCCCATGCATTTTTTTCCTTTCACCACAATCATTTGAAACTCCCATGACTTTTCAATTTCTTTCTAATAATTATTATAAGTTGGTTAATAAGGTTAAATAAACATAAAACCTAAAGTGTAATCATATATAAACTAAATTTCAATATTAAAAAAATATATTTTCTTATACTTATAAAGTTTGTTTTTAACTTTTAACATATTATACTTAATTTAATAGGTCTAATATGTTGTATGTAAACCATTATCATTTTAAAGCTACAACTTTTGATCAATTTGTATAAAATACTTAAATTGTTAATTTAAATATAACCTTACAGAATCAACTTAAATATAAAATTTAGTTAAACTTAAACAACCCAAAGAATATTTTGTAAATAGTTAAAAGTGATAAATTGTAGTGTCTTTCTAATAATGATTATAAATTGGTTAATAAGGTTAAATAAGTATCAAACCTAAAGTGTAATAAAAAATAAACTAAATTTCAATATTAAAATAATATTTTTACTTCTACTTATAAAGTTATGTCTTTAACTTTTAACATATTATACTTAATTTATTAGATTTAATATGTTATTGTATGTAAACCATTATCAGTTTAAAACTACAACTTTTGAACTGTATGGACAAAATACTTAAATTGGTAATTTAAATATAACATTACACGATCAACTTTAATATAAATTTCAGTTCCACTTAAAAAAACCCAAAGAATATTTTGTGAATCGTGAAAAGTGATAAATTGTAGTGCTAAATGCAAAAACTAAATTGTAATATCAATTTAACTAAAATATTTCCTAAAAATATTTTTATAATCGTTAAAAGTTTTGAAATAAGTAGCTTAAAATAACTTACAATAACAATAGTTAAAAATAACTCTATATAAATGATTATATTGTTACCTTTAAAATAAAATAAAAAATTTGTTTAATGTTTTAAATAATTACACTGATAGAAATTAAAACGTTAAGCAAATAAATTTTAAAAATGAATTAACAATAACAACAATTATAAATAATATTAAACCATATATTATATTTAATTTCATGAGTAACCCGCAGATAGAGGTCATTCATAAGATTGAGATTATGCAGTTTTAATAGATGTATATATTATCATATAATTCAAAATAATCAATATACTATATCAACTTAGTATAAGAATTATTATATCAAATTTAACAACGACATTATTGTTATATTTAAAAAAACATAGATTTGTAAAGATTTCAACTATATAGATGCTTCTGCGCAACGCAATTTGTATAAAATACTTAAATTGTTAATTTAAATATAACTTTACAGGATCAACTTAAATATAAAATTTAGTTAAACTTAAACAACCAAAAGAATATTTTGTAAATAGTTAAAAGTGATAAATTGTAGTGTCTTTCTAATAATGATTATAAATTGGTTAATAAAGTTAAATAAGTATCAAACCTAAAGTGTAATAAAAAATAATGTAAATTTCAATATTAAAATAATATTTTTACTTCTACTTATAAAGTTATGTCTTTAACTTTTAACATATTATACTTAATTTATTAGATTTAATATGTTGTTGTATGTAAACCATTATCAGTTTAAAGCTACAACTTTTGAACTGTATGGACAAAATACTTAAATTGTTAATTTAAATATAACATTACAGGATCAACTTCAATATAAATTTCAATTCCACTTAAAAAAACCCAAAGAATATTTTGTGAATAGTGAAAAGTGATAAATTGTAGTGCTAAATACAAAAACTAAATTGTAATATCAATTCACTAAAATATTTGCTAAAGATATTTTTATAATAGTTAAAAGTTTTGAAATAAGTAGCTTAAAATAACTTACAATAACAATAGTTAAAAATAACTCTATATAAATGATTATATTGTTACCTTTAAAATAAAATAAAAATTGTTTGATGTTTTAAATAATTACACTGATAGAAATTAAAACGTTAAGCAAGTAAATTTTAAAAATGAATTAACAATAACAACAACTATAAATAATATTAAACCATATATTATATTTAATTTCATGAGTAACCCGCAGGTAGAGGTCATTAATAAGATTGAGATTATGCAGTTTTAATAGATGTATATATTATCATATAATTCAAAATAATCAATATACTATATCAACTTACTATAAGAATTATTATATCAAATTTAACAACGACATTATTGTTATATTTATAAAAAAAACATATATTTATAAAGATTTCAACTATATAGATGCTTCTGCGCAACGCGCGGGGATTCGCCTAGTTATCTTAAATTTCATCTTTAGTACTTTCCAGCTATGTCTTAATGGGCTTCAATAGTGTGATTTTTACTTGATAAATTTAAGGTCATATGATACATATGTAAACAATGGATCAGTTTTTTTCATGTTTGTTATAAAAATGTACGTAAAGATTCGGGTTTCTAGTTGTATATATAAATATTTGTTTTAATACAGCTAGACGCTTCTTCGACATAGCTGCAAATATTGGAGCAACGTTTGCACTTTAGTCATAGCCATATGCTCAGCCTTGTCCATCTGCAACCTAACCAAGATAATAAAAACTCTGATGATGATGATGATGATGATGATGGTAATGAAGAAAAAGAAGAAGGTGAGGATGATGATTTTGTGGCTGAAGATAAGCATGTTGGACAATGCAAAATATGTAAGGAACAGATCTACTAATCTCATATGAGTTACTACGACTGTAAGGATTGTCATGACTACTCATTGCACAAATTTTGTGCAGAAATGCCCACAACCCTACAAAACCACTCATCACATCCCCATCCTAACCACAATCTTACCATGTCTAAGAGATTTCGGAGATCTGATCATGCATACTTTACTTCCAATGCTAAATGGACATGTAGTGTCTGCAATCTTAAGCGAAAAAGCTTGTTCAATTACCATTGTTCCATTTGCAAAATCAGTATGGACATAATTTGTGCGAATATATCTCAACAAAAGATAGACCACCCAAGCCACCCTCACCAACTGCAACATATGCCTACGAAGTTGGTATCACATTGCAATGCTTGTGGTGGAGATCATCAAGGGAACTTCTACCACTACACCACTTTCTCTTTGTTCTTAATCCACTTGGATTGTGCTTTGTTGCCTGCCAAGTTACCTATCCAACAACATACTAATGCAACTCTCACTCATTCTCAATCTCATTCACTTTCCCCTGCGTATTCCTTTCCTGAAGTTGATAAAGCAAATAAGTTCTATCCCAGATGTTGAGTTTGTAAGGAGGGTTTCCGTATTTTCGTTCGGATTTACAAAGGCGATAAACTTCAATACTATGTCCATATTGATTGTGCGACTTCAAAGACAAAGCCATTTATGTTAATCTTCCTACATCTAGGTAATCTAAGTACTTGTTAATTCTTCTCTTTTGTTTTACTTAAGATTTATTTATCTTGGTTTACTTTTCAATGTCATTTACCAGGTGGTGGCAAGACCTACATAAATTTCAAAAACAATGATCATCCTAATCTTCTCTATTGCCTATTTCGCGTGAAAGTCACAACCTTTCAATGCACTATTTTAAAAAAATAGTTTTTGATTGAATAAAACCATGGCTAAATGCTCAACCATTTTAGTCATCACTATTAGTCGATATATATATATATATATATATATATATATATATATATATATATATATATATATATATATATATATATATATATATATATATACATACTAGGTGTGTACCCGCACAAAGCGGCAGCAACAATTATCACTGTTTCAATGAATGATTTTTTTTAGAAAATGTTATTTGACTGTGTTGCAATGGCTATAATTTTTTGGCTGATATGTTAGAAAATTTCATGTCCGACCTTTGGACAAACATCATGCCCAAGCTGAGATAATATAAATCGTTTCTCCACGTTGAGTCCTAAGAAGATGATTAAAAATTAATTATAAAATAAAAATCCAAAAAATGGAAACTTTTTCAGAGAATGTTTTGAAAGTTTAATTTGTGACAAATTATATTGGACTATTTTCAATAATAAAGATCAGGAGGGAAATCATATCTCTTGGAACAGTAAGAGATAGAAATAAATGGGCAAAACAAAAATGCATTTTTGTTCAATTACCATTAGCCTACACACTAAGCATAATTCTTCTTATTTTGTCGTGTACTACTTAACAAAGTGGTCCTAAGAAAATTTGTTATCTAGAGGAAGAAACCACTTAAGATGGTTCAGAAACAGATTTTCAACCTGAAAAAATAAGCTTTCAAAAAAGACATAGACTTAAATGTATCAACGAAGAATGATGATATATTATGAAGAAAATGAGATCAAAGCGAGAAAAGTTGCATTGACATAGATCCTTGTTCTTGAGGGGCTTGAACCGACCAACCCATCAAAAAGTTGATGGATGAACGACCCTTAATAGCTCTCTAGTAATACTTTGGAGAATATAATAAATGCACAATTTTTTTCATGTCAAAACTTTACCATATACATAGATATATAGAAAATCAAGAATAAAAAATGCATAGTCATGATAGAATTAATTAATAGAAAATCAGAGATATAGAAGCTCACCATTATGTGATAATCGCACCACTAAAACCAAGAACATCCCTGGAAAACCACAAGAATTCTTTCCTATAAAGTATCGATATGAAACATGAATAAAGAAAGGAAAATAAACTAAAAGATTAAAACCGAAGCTAAAATATGTCTGAACTCAAAATGAGGAATTGATAATCATTTGAAAGAAAACGAGTTTCTAAAAAGATTTTGTAAATGGAATAAATTTCAAAAAGGATTTTATAAAGACAAAGGGGGTGTGATGCGTGTAATCAGCCGAACTCAAGTAAGTGATTCCCAGAATACCCATACATATTGATATGGTATATGAATGTTTGCATGTTAGGATAAGGCTAGAGATACTTTCAGAAATTGAAGGATAGATTGGCCTAATATGTGATGCTTTGTAGCCTAGGAAGCATTGGATGCTAGATTGGGAATATTTAATGGTATCAGTATTTGCTAAGTGTATGCTTTAAAAATTGTATACAGTTAGGATCGTATAGCCCTATAATGAATGATTTTACCTTATTTTTTGTTCCTTGTTTGGTTGTACTCCTAGGGTACAGTCTATGTGATCATGTATTGTGTATAATTTGCATGCATGGGGAATGGAAGTTCCTAGCATGAATTGTAGTAATTGAGCGATGAATGTCCCTTGTTTGATCTATGGCTTGGAGTGTTACTACACGAATGTTGTTTGCTTTGTGCTTTGTGGAACTCTTAAGTGATGTGAGTTAACTATTAAGTGAATATGTTAACTCGCATGCGGAAAAGGTTGAATAATCTCGGAGTGATGGATTTGACCTGTACCCCGTTTATTAAATAAATAAATAAACAAATTAATGAATGAATAGTAGCCCTAAAATTAATAATAATTTAACAAGGTGTTGGTCTCAAGGAGCTAATTGTCACAATTTTAGAGATTGGGGGTTAAAAGTGTAAAATCCGGACTTAATTTGTAAGTAATATTGAAGACAGGGGTTGCTTGGTAACAATTAGGACTCAATATGAAAGGACTTATGGAAGCAAGAGATAAAATGTAAATTCTGGATTTATATTGTAAAGATTTATGGAATCAGGGGTTAAAAAAGTAAATTTCGGACAGAGTTTTAAAGAAAAAGGGAAAGGAGGGACTACTTTTGGCATTATGGAAACTAGTTAAGGGGATCGGGGTATTTAAACCCGTCACCCCCGTCCTAACCCTAACCCTAAATGATAAGCAGCTGCCGCTATCGCTTCTTCGTCCTCCGGCACAGCATCACCACCTCTGTTGAGGTCGTCAACCACCGGACGCCACCGCCTAGCTCGTTTCCGATCAGCCAACGCGTCACAACCCCTAGCTTCCGGCGAGAACAAATCGACGACGGGTTATGGGTGTGTTCGCTTCCGCGCTCGCTACGTTCCACGCGTGGAGCGGGAGCGGCTTGCTCAGGAGTTTTTGACATTGAGGCAGGATGGGGAGTCGGTGATGGAGATCACCCGCATGTTCACGGTGAGGGCTATGTTTTCGACAGTTTGTTATCTGAGTATGCTCAAGACCGATATTCGACAGTTTGTTGCCACGCAACGTTGTGATACTCTTATGGATCTTCAGGAAGCCGCGAGGCGGCGTGAGTTGGAGATAGAGCTGCAATTAAAGGAGCAGCGTCAGGTTCCGGCACAGTCTCAGCCGACACCAAAGCGGTCTAAGACCGCTGATACTAGGACTGGAGGTCAGCAGAGCCGCACTTGTGGAAAGTGTGGCAGGGGTCATTCCGGAGTTTGTCGAGCAAGTGGTGGGTGCCACAAATGTGGCAAGGAGGGGCACTATGCCAGGGACTGTCGCCAATCCGCCCCTACAGCAGATATGAGGATATGTTATCATTGTCATCAAGTTGGTCATGTGAAGACCAACTGTCCGCAGCTCTCCGCTAAGGCGGCGCAGGTTTCCACACCAGCTGCTTTGAGGATTGCGGATGCGAGGCCAGTCAAGACGGAGCCTCCGAAGGCTCAGGGGCGTGCCTTCCAGCTCACGGCAGAGGAGGCCAAGGCAGTACCGGATGTGGTTGCTGGTATGTTTCTATTCTCTATTTCAGTCATTATATATGTGTTATGCTTATCTGTTGTACATATGTTTAGGTACGTTTTTAGTAAACTCTTTGCCTGTATTGGTTTTATTCGACTCGGGGGCGAGTCGGTCGTTTGTATCTCATACTTTCAATAGGGGGTTCAGTGTGCCGGTAGATGAGCTTGAGTGTCCGTTGCGAGTTTCTATCGCCAACGAACACGGGGTTTCTGCTTCTTCGGTCTACCGGGGATGTGAGTTGGAGATTTTCGGGGTGTCCTTTCCGATAGATTTGATTCCTATTCCCATGGGGGAAGTATGTGTGATTGTGGGGATGGATTGGCTCAGTCGTTTTGGCGCCATGATTGATTGTGAAGGGCAGCGGGTTGTAGTTCGAATCCCAAGTGGGGGAGAACTGGTGGTATATAGTGAGGGCACCAGAGTAGGATCAGGGTTTTGTTCAGCAGCCAGGGCTCGGAAGTATATTCAGCACGGGTGTGCCGGTTATTTAGCGTATGTGGTTGATACGCGGGTCAGGGACCAGACTCCAGTTTCAGAGGTCCCGGTGGTTAGAGAATTTACTGACGTGTTTCCGGAGGAGTTACCCGGAGTGCCTCCAGAGAGGCAGGTTGAGTTTAGGATTGATCTAGTGCCGAGTGCGGCCCCTATCGCTAAGGCGACGTACCGATTGACACCGCCAGAGATGCAGGAGTTGTCATCTCAGTTGTAGGAGCTGTTGGGTAAGTAGTTTATTCGTCCGAGTAGTTCTCCATGGGGAGCACCGATCCTTTTCGTCAGGAAGAAGGACGGTTCGCACCGGATCTGTATCTATTATAGGGAGTTGAACAAGTTAACGGTGAAAAACCGTTATCCACTCCCGAGGATAGATGATCTTTTCGATCAATTGCAGGGTGCACCTTGGTTTTCCAAGATCGATTTGAGATCCGGATATCACCAGGTCAGGATGAGAGAGGAAGACGTGGAGAAGACCGCGTTTCGGACTCGTTATGGTCATTACGAGTTCGTGGTGATGCCATTTGGGCTCACCAACGCGCCGGCAGTGTTCATGGATCTGATGAATCGGGTTTGTAGGCCGATGCTCGACCGTTCGGTTATTGTATTCATAGATGATATCTTGGTGTATTCCAAGACCAGGGAACAACATGAAGAGCATCTGCGGGAGTTATTGGGAGTTTTAAGGTGAGAATGGCTTTATGCCAAGTTCTCGAAGTGTGAGTTTTGGTTGTGGGAGGTCCAGTTCCTTGGACACCTCATCAACCAGGAGGGGATTTTGGTCGATCGGGCCAAAGTTGAGGCGGTTATGCAGTGGGAGATTCTGAAATCTCCCTCAGATATCAGGAGCTTCTTGGGATTGGCAGGGTACTACCGGAGGTTTATTCAGGATTTTCCAAGATTACGGTACCTCTCACTCGTCTGACAAGGAAATGGGTGGATTTCCGGTGGGGCCCAGAGCAGTAGAGGGCATTTGAGACCCTCCGACGGTGCTTATGCGAGGCGCCAGTTTTGACACTCCCCGAGGGAGTTGAGGATTTTGTGGTATTCTGTGATGCATCCATCACAGGTTTGGGGGCAGTCCTCATGCAGAGAGGACGAGTGATAGCCTATGCATCGCGGCAGCTAAAGCC